AAAAAAGAAAGATATATGGAAAGTTTATGATAATTGATATATTTGCTGTTGCAGTAGCCCTGACCACATCAACAAGCTAATCTGAGTGGGTTGTTCTCATCTTAAAGGAGCTCAAATCTCAAATATTTTAAACAGTTTATGTGAATGCTGTTTTCTGAATGTTTATTTTACATTACAGTTACACACATCAAATGGTTATGGTCTATAAAATAGATTTAACATGAACAACTAGGAACATTTTAAGGTTGAAGTTGTTTCAATTTAGCAGCGATCTACTTTGACTTTGACCCTCGATAGCTGTTAGTTAGCTCGTCAATCAGAATTAAACTTTTTTTTAATTCTGATGTTTACACAGAACCCCACTTCAAAAATATCTGAAATATTGCATTAAGTTATTAAAATTGGTAAATTACAAAAGCCTACCTCTTATTTTTCTTTTTAAATTTTCCTTTCCTCTGAGACTTTACCTGGAATAGCAGGTAATAAAGCTTCACTTGATGTTTTCTTTTAATTTCTTAGTCTAAAAACAGAAACTCTGAGATCTCAGTTGCCATGAAACCAGTTATGAGTCCATCACTTTCCCTCCGCTCAGGTAACCAGCAGGCTGGTCTGAGCGTGAAATAAATGAGAAATATGTTTTTTTACACAATCAGTGAAGGCAAAGCTTGCAGGGTTTTATGCTTTTAGCACATCCTTTTAATACTTTAGACATAATGTCCATGAAACTCATGTTTTGTCAGCAGTCTAAGCCCAACACAAATTATTTTGCTGTTATATTTCTGAATTAAATTGATTAAAATAGTTATGTTTTAACCAACAAAAGTAACAGGGCAGCACTTAATTGCAGTCTTAATATTTTATGTAATTTTTTAATTACCTAATTTGGTTGAGACTTTGTTATTAATTAATTAATTTACTTTGACAGAAAATTGTGTGACATTAGCTGCACTATGAATACAATTATGATTTAGGATCAAAATGCTCAAAATAAAATGAAGGATTATTTGCATGAACCTTTAACTGATAACTGACTAAAAGCCAAAGAAACATTTATATAATTGTCATCAACCTTTCTGTATGCACACACACACACTGAGATAAAAGATGGTGGTTTGAGATTATCGCTGTGTGGACGTCAGAATCAATTAACTAAGAAACAGATCCTAACAAATCTGTTTTGTATAAATTTGTGCTGAGCGCAAGCAACCATAGCCGCACACGCGTTGATGACATCTGGCTTTGAAACAGTCAAAAGGTTCAAGTGTGTCACAGAAGACCGACAGGTTCTTTATAACCATGTGGTGTTCTGTGTGGGTGTGTGTCTGCAGATATTGCACAAAAGCATGGACGTCTGTGAGTATGAACGTGTTTGTTGGACACTAAGTTCTGGCAGCAGTGTGGATTAACCACTGACAGTCACTTTGATGTGCTGATGGAAATGTTTTTATCCCTGTAGCAACAGGAGGTTGTCTGGTTCGTCACTGAACATTCATTTTGTGCCTGAGATTAAATGCATATGAAATAACCAACTAAAACAAATCAATCATTTTTATTACACTGAATATCAACTTTATTACTGAACACTGATGTACAGTCGGGCCCTAAAAATCCAACCTGACCCGACCCCAGCCCGTAGCTATAATTTCCAAACCCCACCCATCCTGACGAATTAACAGTTACAGGTCCGAACCCAAACCCCCACACCGACATTTTTATTAAGCTTTGACTGCTTATATAGTTGTTAATGGTTGGCGGACGTGCACGGATGAATAAAGAGGGCAGAAGACTGGAGCTGAGGGGGTGTTTGTCCTTTCATGGTCGTCAAAGTGCATTGAACTCCTGCTTCTGCCTGCATTCTGCATCATTCAGACACGGACCCTGCTCTGACATGTCGGATATTTTGGGATCTCACCTGTTTGGGTTGTCGGCCGCGCACGTCTGCTGAGTGCAGCATCTGAAGCATAACTATACTTTTTTTTTAACCTCTTTCAAGGCCAGTCAGCAGCACGCGGTCAAATGGCTGTGTGGCTGGTGAATGTATGGTAAGCAATGTTGCCATATAATTGGATCGTCAGCCGCCCTCATCCGCTGACGCAAACATACTGGCCTGGCTCGCACAGAAAGCACATTATTATGGCCCGGCCCTAATCTGGGTCGGGCTGGGCCGGACTCCTGGTTCGGGGTAGAAATGACAGCTCTAGTAGAAATGTTCTGTAAGTTTTGTGTTCTTAAAAAAAGTTCTGCAAGTTATGGACTAAACGATGGTTGGCTCTCAAGCTATTTAAATGATTGTGAAATGAGCAGATGTGCTTTTATTATTTTATTTAATTTTTATTTAAGTGGAGCTCTTCCATCCAAATGAAAGGGAGTTTGGAAACTAGCACAGCAGCTGTGGCTCAGACTGCAGCACAGATAATAACTTTGACAACAGAACTCTGACAGGAAAAAGAGAACGGTTATTTTACAGACGTGGCTTCAGTTCAGAGCTCTTACAGCCCTAATTATCAGAGAAAGTAACCTGGTTTTGACTTTTCTCTTGGTACTCATATATTTTTTATCTCTTTAATGTCGACACATACAGTAGTCCTTAAAGGACACAATAACTTCTTAATATTTTGTACAGCTCACAACTTTCAACTCAGCATTTGAAGATTTTTTTTCCAACATTGTCATTTAAATACCTACAATACTGAAAATGGGTTTGTCCGAGTTAATTGTGATTCAAATAACTCTATTGCTTCAATCTCTGGTGCAATCGTTGCAATGCCCTTTTGTCTTTTAAACACCAGCAGTTTTCCAAAACTCATTCTGTTAGTGGTTGGAGTGACTCAGCTACTGCCGCATCAAATTTTAGCTAAATATTTAGAAAAATGCTACGCTTGAGCCATAGCAAACATCTTGAAATAGGTTGCATTCAAAAGTTAATAAGGCGTAGAGGCACATCCAGTGATCACTCTGTGAAAGTTTCATTAAATTCCATCCAGTCATTCATGAAATAATTTACTTATTGAGATCCTGATTCATGCTCAATAATCCAGGTAGAAAAATCTAACAAAGTAAAGTCAGGTCCTCTTCTTCTTGTTGAAAGCTCTTGTCTTTTATCCACCGGCAAAGTCTTTTGGATGAAAGACGAAACATTTCAACCAGAAGAATCCGTCCAGAGGACCTGACTGTACTTTGTTAATTACTGGACTTACAGAGAGTTGACTCCATTATTTTATGTGCTGCACAACACTTTGTGTTGCACTCTACAGTATGAACGGTTTATACAGTTTGATTGATAATTGTACCACACAATTTCAGTGTAATTCTATAAAGTTTATATATACTTTATCGTGAACTGACATTCCAAGTTGTTGGTTTTATTTGCTGTTTCAGTTCCTTAATTTTCCGTAGAGGTTTTGTGAGTTGGGGGACATTATTCTCCACAGCTGGCCGGTAAACCGTAGTGTCCTTTGACTTGTGATGGAGTTTAGGGGTTGCTGGGTGGGTAAGTGAGGATGGATGCTGTACTCACTGAAGCTGGCACCTCCTCCCCTCCTTCTTCTCCTGGCTCCTCCATCTGCTGCAATGTTAGAATCTCCTTATCAAGCTGCCACCAGATTAGTCCCCAGGTTTTTCCTCCATGTGGATATCTCCACCAGCCTCTTGTGGTTTCTTCAACATATGGTGCAGCATTTTACCCTGACAGACTGTAAACTGTCAGATAAAATCCTAACATTCTTCTTTTGTTGATAAATAGTTTATGTGAATAATGTGCCAGTGGACTGATTGTGTAGCTATTGAAACGGCACCGGTAACAAATCTAATGCTGTCCTTGCATTTCATGTGGCTTTGTTACTGTTGGCAGTGAGTTAAATGCAGAGTGTGATCACTTATATTGAGACTGCTGACCCCAGATAAGTGATGGGGCTGCCGTCCTATAGGAAACACATGGATTGAGGTCTGTGAAATTGCTATAAAAGTTAACAGAAACTGAAACTAGAACATCTGCATTTCCTGTGAAAATGCAGTGTGAATGTTTCTTGCTTAAGAATTTCAAGAAAGCAGCTGAAAAGTAGTTTAAAATAGCAGAAATGAGCTTACATTATCAGAAGGAAGCAGAAAGAGCACAACTGTTGTCATGGACTGCCAGGCTTCTACCGATGTAAATTGTTCATACTATGTGTTTGGGTTCGCTCTCAGCTACACCACATTTCAGCTGAATAGCTCTAAAAATGCCTGAGTTATTGTATTTTTTTGTTTTTAGCTAAGGCGGCCATCTTGGATTTTTGATTTGAATGCAGTATGTGATAGAGAACGTACTCAGCTTTAACCTCACCAAATTTCAGCTCTATATTTGTAAAAGTAACTGAGTTAAATCCGTTCAAAAGTAGATATTGGTGGCCATCTTGGATTTTAGATTTTCATTCAGCATTTGATGGGAAACATTGTCAGCTATCATCACACCAACTTTCAGCGCAACATGACTAAAATTGGCTGATTTATAGTATATGTCTTTTTTTTTTGTGAAGGCGGCTATCTTGGATTTTTAATTTTCAATCAGAGCCTATTGGGGATAGTTGTCAGTTACCAATACACCAAATTTCAGCGGAATAGCTCTAAAAATGGCTAAGTTATTGTATTTTATCTAATTTAGTGGCCAGTGTGGATATTTTATTTGAACAGCTAGTAGTAGCAAAAAAAAAAAAGGTAGAAAGAAGCTTAAATTACTTTTTTTGAAGCATTCACACAATAAGTTCAGCAAACAAGTTGAGTTTTGTTGAGTCTCATAGTTTAACTAACTTGCTTTCTTACATTCATTTATTGCTTTTCTAAATCAAAGACAGTTGTGTTAGTAAAATATTGAAAACAACATTAGTAAGGGTTGCAAGTTATGTTGATCAGTAGGAAACAGATCACACTTTCAAATAATGTACACCTGTTTTTTATATTTGTTTTTAATTTGAAAAAAATGTATATATACATTTTAAATTTCTCATATTTTCATTTCTTCCCAGGCTGCCAAGCTTCCAATGTCCATCATCATTGTTGGAGTGGGTCAGGCTGAGTTTGATGGTATAATTACATCAACTTCTAACTAAAAAATGCATATTTCATGGAACTGATTTGGACGCTTTATGAATTTTTATAAGGTCTAAATGAATGTGTAGTTGGTGGTTTATCAAGCTGTTATTCTTTGCAAGCACAGCATTCATGATTTCATCCTTGGCTGCAAGTGAGACGAGCAGCAAAGTTCCAGAAGCAGGAGAGAGACTACAGCTTGTTGCACAGCAAAACTGTAAATCTGTGTAATAACTTGTAATTTGTCAGCTTTCTGAAGACCAGATGAATATGATGACGCCTGTCTGCGTGGCTTGCTTGCATCCACAAACACTAAAACAAAAAGGAGATGATCATTTTTATTCAGCTGTATGTTTTCAGAATTTTACCACCACTCTGAGCTTGTGTTAAAAGTTGTGGCTTTAAAATGTCCAGAATAAATCAAAAATAGAAACCACAGGAAATTCATGCAGGTAAAAATGTAAACCACTGAACATCTAATGGATCTTAGTCTTAACTAAAATAATAACTTTATTATTTTTTTTTATTACAGTCAAAGATAACCTTGTTGACAGTCATTCAGAAGAAAAAAAATTACAGTTCAAACCCATCAAAGTCAGGAGGGAAGTGGATGCGAGGGAGGGTACAGACATGATTGTAGAAGAAATGGATGAGGTTAATTGCTGGGTTTGTAGTGTTCTGTGCTGATGACTCTAAATTACAGTCTATGCTAAAATAAATTAGTTGATTAAACGGGCAATGAAGACTGTACAACTAAACATTCTTATCATTTACCAATAAAAATCAAAATGCAGACTAACCTGATGCCTAAACCGCAACACAACCTTTGTATCAAACTTGTCTGTGTTCAAGCAGCTGCTTCTGAAGAGTTTTAACACCCAGTGTGTGTGTGTGTGTGTGTGTGTGTCCTCCAGCTATGGTGGAACTGGACGGTGATGACATCAGGATCTCATCCCGAGGGAAACTGGCAGAGAGAGATATTGTTCAGGTGACTGTCCTTCAGAGTAAGAAAGGTCCTGCGACTGAATTCTCTGTAGACGTACGGCGGTGACATTTAGAAAGTGCAGTTTTCTCCAGAGTCCATTTCATAGTGCTGAAGTAGTAAACCTTTATTCTTGTCTTGGACCAAATCTTTCTGTTTGCATTTCACAATAACGGATGTGAAATATGTCCAAGCACCAGCTGTCTGTAGACGAGGACATCTGTGAATTCAATATGGGACAAACGCAGAAAATATTTCATATGAAGAAACCTGTTGTGTCTCACTCACATTGGATGCTTCAAATGTCCACCATGGGATTAATAAAGCATCCATCCATGCATCCATCCATCCATGCATCCATCCATGCATCCATCCATCCATCCATCCATCCATCCATCCATCTACTACAACTAACAGTATTAAATATTTCTTGATTCATGCTCAATAATCCAGGTAGACAAATCAACAAAGTTAAGTCAGGTTCTCTGGGTGGTTTCATTTTTTTTGTCGAAACATTTCGTCTTTCGTCCAAAAGACAATCAGTCCGAGAAGACACAACAAACTCAGTCTTATAAAGATCACCTTCACATAGTGGGTCAACCTGTTTGATGGTTAACTGGTTTCTGGAGTCTGCTTACTGATGACCTCGGGCTGATGAAGTCTTTTGGATGAAAGACGAAACGTTTCAACAAAAGAAACCATCCAGAGGACCTGACTTAAATTTGTTGGATTTTTCTACCTGGATTATTGAGCATGACTCTGGATGTTTTGAACCATTTTAGCCATGATTGACTCAAACGAGTCAACGGGGGAGAGGACGGACTCCAAAAACCATCTGAGCCATCTGAATTTATAAAAGTGGTTGGTCCGCTATGTGAAGGTGCTATTTATAAGACCGAGTTTGTTGCAGCTCCTCAGACTGTTGAAGTCTTTTAGGTGAAAGACGAAACGTTTCAACCAATAGAAACCGTCCAGAGGACCTGACTTAACTTTGATGGAGTATTGAATATTGTTATCTCCCTAATACTAGCTAAATACACTATGAGTTGCAGTTATCTTGAAGAACTTATGACAAACAATGCAAAACAAAAGTTGAAATTCTTGATCCAACTCTTATAAACTCATTTGTTTCTGTTTGAGGTGGTTTCTTACTGAGCTGGGACTGCTGGAGATTCGTTGGTCACTCAGAGTTGCGAGTAAAGAAGCACATTTTCAGCCAAAGTCTCACTGAATTCTGAACATCCACAGCCAGCAAGACATGTGGCTGCGTTCTGGGCAGCCAGACAGCTTTTGAAAACTGCAGCTTATTGTCATATGCTTCAAACATGTATTCTATGCATGAAGTATATCATAATATGTATATGTATTATGATACCGCCCACCTCTGCCTACATTGTACACCCCACAGCTCCCTTTGTTTCCACTTCAGCAGCTGGACCTACATTTGTTTTAATCTACTGGAATACACTTTTGACATAACAGACAGATTTGGATCCATTTCCTTCTAATACAAAGTTAATCAGTGTGGTTTTTAGTCCAGGACATTACCCTTGAATGTTTTTTGTTAGACTAGAACTCCCATGCAGGTAATAAAAACCAGCTCTAGTGCTCTTGAGATGGGTTTGAAGCGGCCGTGACAAAAATCAGAGAGGTTTGGGACACCACAAACACTCTGAGGTTATTTCGACATAAACTGTTACACAAATCTTTTAAACATGTTCAGAACTCAAGCAACAAGACTTAGAGCCTCTGTGATTTGTGGAAACTGAAAACTCCCATGAGCGTTCTAGAGAGTCCTTCACAAACCAACTATTCAGCACCAGTGACAGCCCGGTGAGATGCCACCTTTAAACTGAATCCATCTCTTTGGGTTCCCTCAACTCCTCCGCCCTTGAAGGAATAGTTTCAGTTCCTTTAGATGAGGTTCTGCAGAAACTGTTATGAACATTTATATCTCTTTGTATGATCTTGGTTGAAGATATTCTGATTAGTTTTGACCAGACAATTTGTAACAGAACAAGGAAGGCTAAGACCAGAAATGGATTGGTATTTTCCCAAAACAGCTCCAGTCTGAAGTGGTTCATGCAAACACTTATTTATTAACATTTAAGTTGAAGTCAGTTACTTGTGACACAATTTTTTTATATTGAATGTAATTTAACTCTAAGAATCTATAAAAAAAAGCATCACATATTCACCAAAACTATATCTATTTTGCATGTTTTAATTTAACTGTTGGAAATGTATTAAAAGAAGGCATAAATGCCAGATTCTTAAATGTCTGATGTGATTCTAATAACACTACATGCAACTATTGATGTTAGCGATTTTTACAGCTGAATGATGTAATTTGCAGACTAAACCATTGTTTCATCTCTGATGTTGCGTTTACTTCCTTGTTCACACCAAAAACAAAGTTAAACACAACACCTCCTGCACACAGACACCAATTTATATGAATTTACGTGTACACTTTATCCAAGCTGAGGGAACAGATTTTTTATCATCTTGGTTTTAATTCAACAGATATTTCAGATCAGCTTTATTAATTTATACTTGTTAAGGAATAACAACAATAATACCAAATGTGAAATAATTAAAACACTACTGGGTGTTTTTACCAAAGAAATGAATCAATTCGCATTTACACTGATACCAAATAAAATGCATTGCAATACAACATACTAAACAATGTAGCTTTGATGAAAAATTTTGAACTGAGCAAGTTGTACTCAACCACCTCTTTACCCTTTGTCTAAATCACAAAAAGATTTGGGATGTAGGAGTTGTGCTTGTCCCTGATGTCATATTTATGTCTGTGTTTCCCCCGACCCTCTATTTCTCTTTATATGGGTTTCTCTAGTATCCAGCCCCATCTTGTGTCGTGTTCATGGCTTGCATCCTTTCTCCTTCTCTGGCATCTGTGATTACCCACAGGTGTCAACACTTGGTTTAGTTGGTGTTTCCTATATATAAGTCTGTGTCTCTGTGTTAGTCCTTGTCCTGGCATTGTCTTATGTCCACTGGTGATGACCCGTCTGTATTGTGAGTACCCCCTGTTCATTCTATGTTTAGTTTTGCTGCCATGTCAGCTTGTTTGTTCTGTTAATAAATTCTTTATTTTACATATTTCTGAGTCCTCGCCTGCTTGCCTGCACCACTGGGTTCACCAGCGCCAGCCATTTGTGACATGGGACACCACTGAGACATTAACAAACAAAATGTCGTAGATGGAAGGGATAAAACAGGACTTCGCCTTAATGCTGAAAATAGCTAAACCACAAGACCACAAGTGCAAAATAAAGCATTCCATGTTTGCAAAGTCCAGCAACTTTTAGAGTTTAAACATAAACCTCTGTTTTTTTTAAATATATTTAAAAAATTACAACAGTAGTAAAATTTAAATTCTGTATGACATTTTGTTAGATGTGCTATTAATATGCAATCAGACAGTCTGAAAATTATTTTTTAATGTTGTTTTCAGTTTGTTCCTTTCAGAGATTACATGGACCGAACGGGTAACCATGTGTTGAGCATGGCGCGGCTTGCCAAAGACGTGCTTGCAGAAATTCCCGACCAGTTTATCTCCTACATGAAGAGCCGAGGAATCAAACCCAACCCCGCACCGCCTCCCTACACACCGCCTGGACATACACACCACCACACACAGATCTGAGGCCCTCCTCCTGGCTTCTGAGGACTGATAGCATGCAGCAGCCGCTCAGAGTCCCCAGGGAACTCTCTACCTCCTGTTTGTTTAGTGTAAATCGGAGACAAAATGCCAGGAAGTGGATGAAGACTTGTGCTGTTCCCTCCCAGTGACTACAGGAGCAGTACTGTTTGGTTTTGTGTTTCTCCTGCGATATGTTTCTTTTGTATCCTTTCTTCAAGAGGGGCTGAACACATTTTTCAAGACTTGTTGGCAAAAGCCTTTCAGGCGATGACTGTTTGACAGCAGGTTGGTCAAAAAAGGCCCATGTCGTGGTGAAAACGTGTGCCTGTCTGTTTATTTTTATTTTTTCTTTTCTAAGTGTTTGAGGACTAACAAACTTGACTTGCTCGTCAGTCATTGGTGTGGCCTAATTCAGTGATATATTTTAGGTACCTGTTTCCATCTTGAACAAGTTTTTACATTAGGTGATGCTTTCTAGATCTCTCATTACAACCATTATGATGCTTTCTAGCAAACATCACCTCCTGTTTGCTTTACCAAGACAATATTTACAAGAGCATGTTGTATGAGAATTTAATTCCCTTATTCTAGTGTTTAGTCACAAATTGTTTTTTTCAGAATAGCATGAAAGATTTATTAGGAACGCCATAAAAACTTAATCCATTTTGAATTATTCTTAGTGACTGCACACTAATTATTGATTGTACCAGGTTAATCATAGCTCACTTCTCTGAGTGCTTCTGTTCATTAATAATGAAGAAAGTACAAAACGTGCTCTCGTTGGTCAAATGTTTTTGCACTACAGCCATCTTTTACATGTAAAACATTAATTGATATAAAAGCATTTAAGGCTTTTATTCAACACAGATTAATTTCAATCACAGATGAAGCATCAAGTTAATGTTTACCAGTTTACTTCTAATTAATCTGAAGCTTTGAAGCCTCTAATCTCCTAACAAATGGGTTTCTTGCACACAAATGTTGCTAAATGTGCATGCAGCCAGGGGGCATGAACATGATTGGCAGTCAGTAGATTGTATTAAACTTTATTAAAATTATAAGTTGATCACAAAAAAAAATTCAACTCAGTTTAACGTATAATCCATAATAAAAGTCTATTTTGTGAAACAAAGTTTTAATATAATAAATGCAAGCGCATATTATTTCTGAATAAATTATTTTGTAACAATAATTCCCTAAGCTTTGGTTAATGGGATTTCTTTTTCTTTTGAAAAGGCTGGTTTTGTGCAATTTATATGATACAGATGGTGTGTTTAGATACACAAAGAAACTCTGCTTCCTTTTCGTTTCCCTTCTTGTCAGTCGGGATCCTTCTCTGCTACAGACTGCGTTATTCTTGTAATACTGAACAACTTCTCCCCGTATTTTAAGTGGAAACGTTCTGGTCATTATCCTCGTCATGTCAAAACACCTTTTTTTTTTTTTTTTGCTCCCCAGCTCTGTGATGACAAACATCTAAAATCCAACGTTATTTTTTCTAGTTTTGCAAAATACGGTCATTTCAAAATTAATTTAAATGTTTGTATTGATGTTAAAAACACAGAAGTGAAAGAAAAAGATTATGCTGTCTAACAGCATCTGGTTAGAGTAAACTCAGAAGGCAAATCGCTAACCCTTAAACCACATGTGTCAAACTCAAGACCCGGGGGCCAAATGTGGCCCTCATGGACATCTTATCTGGCCCCCAAGATGATATGTTAAACATAAAATGCTTTCATCACATTAATTTTTTCAGTAAACTTTGATTATGATGTCAAAAATGCAACAGAGCGTCAAATGAGACCAATTAAACTTTTTGTTGAGGAACCTGCAACCAAGAAAAGATGTTGAGTATCTAACTTGAGTTAATGTAGATTCTGAAACTGGCCCTTAGTTCCAAAAATGTTTTAATTTTGGCCCTTTGTATAAGTGAGTTTGACACCCCTGCCTTAAACAATAGCCACGCACTCACAAAAATCCACAATTTAAAAAAGTACAAACATAAATACAAATGCCAAAGTCCATGCTCAATAAAACAGATATAAAATCCAACAATGTTCAGTCAGGTCATCTGGACAGTTTACACCTTTGTTTTTTTTTTTGTGCTGAGACGTTTCACCATCTAGCATGGACTTTGGTGTTTTGAACCAGTTTGACATGACTGTGGGCTCCAGAGGAGAGGGCATGCCGCAGAGGCCGTCTTAGCACCAACATAACTGGTTTTTTTCCACTTTGGAGTAGGCTGTTGGTGGAGAATCAGTTTTGTTTGGTGTTTCCTCAGACTGATGAAACCCTTTGGATGGAGGGCAAAATGTCTCGGCACACACAAACAAAAAAACAGAAACTGTCCAGATGACCTGACTGAACATTGTTGGATGAATACATATGGCAATAAATAGCCACAGAGTGAAGGTTGCAGGAGGTGCTGTGTCAAAGAATTGTCAATTATGAGCTGATTTTTCACTCAGACTGGCACACAGCCGACATCAGCTCATCTAGATCGGCTAAAAACATATTTTGGGCCCAGTGGTGGGTCTTTTTTTAATTTATTTTTTAGCTCTGATAATCTTCCTACTACACCTCCTCTAAACACCTGGTCATTGCATTGAGAACAGGAGCAAATATTACATGAATAAAACATATTATCCATTTTAATTTTAAAAAACAACTCCTAAATCATCACCTTTAGTTTGAATTTCTGTGCCCCGATATACTTCTACGGCTTCAGTGACAGTACTTTGAGATGCTGTCGTGTACAATCATGCTACAGTTACTGTTTTCAGTCTGATAGTGAGTAAACTCACAGGTTTTTAGGCAATTTTTTGAAATGCAAATGCTATAAAAGTCAATTTAGAGCTTAAACTGAGGTCTGTAAGTCACATTTTAAAGGTTTTAAACGCACAGGTGTGTTTTATATACGCAAATCTTTATTTATCTGAGTTTTTAAGTCATTTATGAAAAGCAGGCTGCTCAATAATCACACAACTTAGAATAATGAAATATGTTTTGCAGTTCTCTTTGTTCACTGAGTTTGTGTATTATCCCAGAATCAGGTTTAATCAGCCAAAATGATTCTTCTGCACATTGTTAATCCAGTGTTTTGGTCAGAAAAGTCATTTTACTACATTTACTCAGCGCACTGAAAGTTAATGCTAAAAGCCTTCTGACTTGTAATGAGTAGAGGTCCTGACCAAACTGCAACAGGTAACACCGTCAGAGTGAAACTTCCATCTTAGCTCCAGAAAGTATCATTAACGTTGGGAAAATGTGCTCAGAGTAAAAAGCCATTTACTGTGTCCTATGCAAATACACTCCCTGGCAACATTTTCTAAATCACAACAGAAGGAATACTTGACAAACAGTCGCTGTTTTCTTGTTTTCTTTCATAAATGTCACAGAAAAAACTAATTACTGCAGTGTGAGTGATTTTTCCTGGTGGTTCTGCTTCACACTAAGACTGTACAGGAACAAAAGATGATGCCACCGTGTGAGAAGGAAACAAACAGATCTGACTCCAGGTCATTAACTCTGCTCTTTATCAACAGAGTCCTAAAATCATACAAGTCAGTGTTCTTTTTATTCCCTTTCTTTCTCTCATTTAAAAATTACACACTAACATAAAACTATGACTCTGCTTACACAATAATGTGTGGCTTCATTAAACACTTCACTTCAAGCATTTTACTTGTAAAGGACAGGAGACTCAAACTTACATTAACTGCAGCAGAGAGTAAAAAACTGTTACTGTACGAAAAAGAGATTTGAGGCGGACACAGAAAAATCGTTTCCCGTTCAAAGTTATTTTCTTTCTTCTGGATCTTGAGTCGGGATTTGTTGAATTAGCTTTGAGGTGTTTGATCTTGGACGTTGCGCCTTTACTTACCATAATTTTCAGACAATAAGGTGCACCGGATTATAAGGTGCATTAAGCGAAACAAGTTCATTTTGACAGATTTTTGAGCGCCGTGCACCACATAAATTTGGTTTGAGGTCGGTAAGCACAACCAGAATTACACATAAAGTGCACTGGATTATAATCTGTCGACTTTTGAGAAAATTAAAGGATTTTAAGTGTGCCTGAGAAATACGGTAACTTTTCTTGCACAGAGACTTATAGTGATCATTCGAAATGTTTGAAATTAAGATTCTGTGGAAAAGTTATGAAGAACCATTATTGCACCTGTTGTCTTTAAGTCTGAAGAAGCAGATCTGAATTCTGATTGATGAGCTAATGGCTAGTCTAAGATTGCAGACAACTTAAAACAACTGCAATATCAAATATTGCATAGCTTTCCGTGCAAATACCATTTTGTAAATTGTACAGTTGCTGGTAATTTCACATTGCATGGTTGTTCTATCCAGGTTGTTTGTTTTAAGCCCGTACAGCCACAGCAGAAGTTAGCTGTAATATTTCCTGTCTAGCCCGAGGCACTTACAGCTGAAATAACTGAACATTTCTGCCAGGACAGCTATATAACACAAAACTGACAGAAGGGCCAAAATGTAAGACCTTGGGAATTCATGTTGGTCCCGACCCTACTCAGGATGTCTGTTTTGTCAATCCATTCAGGTAAAGCAAGATGTTCATTATTCACACCCTTTTTACAGAACTCCACTTCAAAAGACCTGAAATATTTCTTTTAGAAATGGTTTAACACTCAGATATCTCAGCAAAAATGCATTTTCGTCGAATCACTGTGTGTTTCAGAATTTGATGAGTGCAGTAATCCAAAAACATCCTTGGTTTAGAATTTTCTTATCAGGTTAAACTATGAATTTGGCAAATGCTTTTATTTAAGATCATTTGCTGACAAATTTGGACATTTGTCTGCCTGGTGTTAGAAACATGTCCAAGTCATTAAATAAACAAGGACTACTGGTAAATGTGTTGAGATTATATGACACCACACAAACATTTCCAATTCAGTAGATTTGTTGTGAAGTGAGACAAACTTTTTAATTATTGTAGTTATGAGCTAAGTGCATTTATTTTTTATTTTTAT